TATATTTCAAGTGAGGCACTTCCTTAGTTCAACAGAATAGAAATTGTTCAACTATTGATTGAATGACTGTTGACTTAATGGGTAGGTCTAATGAACCTGGTACAACATTGGAAAGATAGCTTTGAATCCACCTTGTGCTTTTGAAAACACAAGGGTAAATATATCATACCCCTTAGTGTAGACACAGTGGGGTTGCAGGCTATTTTTACATTACATAGGGCCTTGAGTAGTGCAAAAATTTCTATGTTTCAAGTATCATACTAACCAAATGTGGATAGTCAGGAAGGTTAGAAGCAGGGGTATGTTATAAATGTTTAACAACCAGTGTTTCAGGAAAAAAAATGTATGCAGAACACACTTTTAAATTTAATCTTCATTATTAACAATTTATCACTTTCTTAAATCTAAACAATTAACAAAACATTAGATCAAGCTTCAGTTTGTGGCGTTCTCCAATGTCTGAGGTATAAATACTCACACTGAAGATTTTAACAATCAACTCTCTGTTTAAGTTGGTTCCTACACACCCCTACTTAGAGGTAACACAGAGTGATATATTATCTTCCATTATGAAAAGTGTCTTGGCTTTGTGATGTCAGTACTTGATTCTAGGCAATATCAAATTTGGGTATCATTTGGCATAGGGATCTTCTTTGCTTTTACAACCCTATTAGACTCAAACTACTCTTACTTAAATCCTCCCATCTTTCATTTCCCCCCACTTTTTGGAGCTCAAGGAATTGCTAAACTAATTCTTCCTTTTCCTACTTCCAATACTTTTTAGAACATCATCTCATTTTCATTGAAGGTATCTATCTGTTCTTTGACTAGAATTGCAAAAGATTTAAAAAATATATATATGATAATTTAACATATAAATTCTAACTTATTCATTACAAAATCTATTTCCTTTGAAACCTGTCAATGTCTTTTTCTTTTAACTTCTTGTCCCTCACCCCCAGTATACAATCAGTTGTGAAGAACTATCAAGTTTACTTCTAAAGTAAGTATTGAGTGCATTTCCTGCTTTCCATTTCTATTACCATCACCTTATTTCAGGCTCTCATTTCAACTCCTAAATGATCCCCCCCCTTTCAGTTTCTTTTTCCTTCATGCTTCTTCTTGATTAATCATAGATCAAATTACATCATTCCATTGATTCCCAAACAATAATTCCTTTCTCCCTAATAGTTAAATTTGAAGTTCTTTAGCCAGGCATTCAAGACCCTCCAACCTACCTTTGGATCTTCACCTCTCCTTTAGAGGGTCATTGTTTAAGCTAAGCTGGTCTACATTCTTCCACTACCTTTTACTTGCCATTCCCTATGCTTAGAACATTTTCCCATCCCTACATCTTCAAATGCTACTCATCCTTCAAGACGCAGCTCATGAGCCACCTCTTCCATGAAATCTTTTGTGAATATCCACCCCACCAATTCAGAAATGATCTTTCCTTCTTCAGAACTTCTACAGCATCTTGCTTGTACCCCTTAAGCAATTACCATATTCCCTTATGCATCACGGACAGGGGCGATGTCTTTTTTGTTGTGATATCTCTGTCAATATCAAACATAGTGCTGGGTATACAGCAAGTGCTTGATAAATATTTGTTGAATCAACCCATGATATAGAACAATACAAAACCTATTGACAACCCTCAAAGAGATCACAATCCTGGGGTACTGAATGGACAGCACAAATGTTTAATGTTGACTTTGAAAAGGTGTTTTGGAAATATCATTGCATTGTATTATGTCACCCATGACCTTTGGAAGGCTTCCTGAAAGAAGATGGCTTTAACTTGTATTATGAATGCAAGGAGGATTAACTGATAGCTAAGCAGATTTGGTATGAGAAAAAGGAAAGAGAAATGTAGAAGTAAAGGAAAACATAGAAAGTAAAAGGAAGTTTTAGGGATAACAGTAGAGATGTTTGGGGAATTTGGTGAAGAAAATTTAAGCATAGAGTAATTTCAATTTACGGTGAAATGGGAATAGGTTTGAACTGAAGCTTTTTGATATTTCTAGCATGCCAACTTGGATAGTGGAAGAGGGTGATGGGTTTTTTTGTTTGTTTTATTTCATTTTATTCCCCTGTTCTAAGACAGAAGTTACTTCTTGGAATATGAAAGCTGAGCAAATTTGCTTTTTGATTTAAGCTGGGGGTGGAGGGAAGGTGGGAGGGGTGAGTTGTATAATTCCCAATGGAGCCCTTGCACTTACAGAAGTGGTGGGTATGATATCAGCAAAGCTTGTGCCTTTGAGATCATTAGGGAGTGCTGGACTTCATCCAACCAGTGTATGGTCCTCATAGCAAGCAACCCAGAGGCCTTTCGACATACGTAATCTTGTTATGATCAAGATGGTAGGGGAAAAAGGATTTACCCTTATGTTTTAGATTGAAATGATCAGACCAAGGAAGAGAAGGTTTCTGTAATGGAAAGGTAGAGTGACTGACATCTGTATTAGGAATATGACTATTGGGAAAAAGAGTCAAGGCCATTTTGGCAGTATGGCATAGGTAGAATTTTCTGGTGTGGGATTCCAGACAGAATGAGGAGGAAGAGTTAAAGATGACAGCTCCTAGCAACTCAGAGGGTGTTTAACTTTTCACTGATGCTGACTCACTGAGGTAGATAGATAGTTCAAAGATCAGATTAAAAAAAAAACAACCCCCCACCCTAACCCAAACAAACCCAGAACCAGATCAAAATCTATTTTGTCTCCAGGAAAATCTCTTTGCTTAGTTCTAACTACTTATCCTTGTCCCCTATGTATTTGTAAAGTATTTTCCTCCTCCCTAAATTTCTCCCTACCAAGTGCCTGGATGTGATATTCATATCAGTGTTAATAGTTTTATTAAAAGAATGCTGTGCACATTGCTGGTGTTGAATGAATGTTATTTATGCATATATTTTTTTAAGTAACAACGATGTCTAAAGGCAACTTAAAGCTCAAATCTTGTCTCCTTATCTAATAATGCAGAGTTCTATCAGAAAGTTGATTTTTTCCCCTCCCCTTTGCTTTGTCTTTGTAAATGTCACCAAAAATAGAGACATTTAACTTGTTGACAGGTTGTTATGGATTAGATACATGATTGAGAATAAAAGCCTGAAGACAGAACATCTGATTCAAAAAAATATAGGTTTCATAGCAGTAATATGGAAATATAGTGGTAGTCTACTCCCCCTCTCCCTCCCCCCTTTTTGTTATAAATATCTACGTGTGGTAGTTCTACATTTGGTCAAGTGTGAGCAGATTGACATGAAGGCTGTAAATTGCTAATCACAGTTAAAGAGCTGGAAGGGACCTTAGAAGTTGTGTAGCTCAACCTTCTCATTTTACAGATGAGGAAATTGAGATACAAAAAGGTTGTGATTTGTCCAAAGTCATACAGGTAGTAAGTTATAAAACTAATATTTCAACCTAGGACCACATGATTCCAAATCCAGAGCTTTTTCTATTTGGAACAATTTCATTTTGTTCTGAGGGTAGAAACTCCTTTCATATGTGATAACTAAAACTTTCAGTCTTAGATGGTTGCTTAGAGCGCTTGCCCATGGCATATAGCTAATATATTTCAGAAGCAGGATCTGAATCCAGGTCTTCCTAACTAGAAGGGCTTAGCTTAGCCTTCTGTTCACTATTCTAATGCCTCTCAATGTTTTAGATGCACATAGAAAGTCTCTTGTTGATTTCCCCTCACCTTTTAAAAACAACCACCAAGGAGGGGTTGTATAACAGATTTGGCCATTCCAACATGCCTTAAAAGTCGGTTTCACACTGTTCTAAAGATTTTGGCTTAAAAATGATTCAAGAATTGCAGATACTATGAAGCGTTTTGAATTTTTCTTTTCTATACTTTGAGTCTTGTGAGAGATGGAGCTTTGGGTTTTGTTGAGACCAGTCTTTACCAGATTTCTTAGCTGTCTGAAGTTACTTTATAATGTGGTCAGAGATTCTAAACCAGAGGTGGGGAGCCTGCAGCCTGGAGACCACATATGGCCCTCTAGGTCCTCAAGTGTGGCCCTTTGACTGAATCCATTTGGGTTGGCTGCACTTGAGGACCTAGAAGGCCACATGTGATCTCTAGGCCATAGGTTTCCCCACCCTTGCTCTAAACAATTGTAACAAGAACATAAAATGCTGTAGCAAAGCATGTTGCAATTGTATTTGGAAACAATGCCTCCAAAAGTAGCAGTGCTGTCTCTATTATATCTGCAAGAGGTACTCTTTAAAAAAGATTTGGCTCCTGTTTAGCAGAGGCACAATGTTTCAGTCAGAGAATATTGGTAGAAATATGACATTGGTTGGGGGAAAACAGGGAAACTTGATTTTTATTTTTGTTACTTGTGTAATAGCTACTTTGAAGAAGAATGTTGGGCAATAGGAAGGTTTACTCTTACTACCATGGGTTTATAATTTGATTTCTCTACTTTTTGTTTACATGGAAATTACCTCTAACAAGCAGTTTGAACTTGAGCAAATTATTTCATCTGTAAAATGGGTTTGTCTCTATTAACACCTAACATTATATAGAGCACCATAGAAATGTAAAGTTGTTAGCTGTAAAATGAGGCTATTAGATCAACTCATCTCTGATCTTTCTTCTATCTCTAAAGTGCTGATTTAGTGATTCTTAATGATGGTTGATGGCTCTAAACTGGATTAGGAGAAGGGAGATTATCTCTTGTAGGTCCGTCTCCAACACTGTCATGCTGAGTGATCTTGACAGAGTTAGGTACCCCTTGTGAGCCTCTATTTCCCCATCAAGATAGTTGGAATAATAGTATCTGACCTTTTATAAGCTTCTGGAAATTAGCATGAGAGCCCACAAGGAGACTGAGAATGCTAGTCCTTGTCAATAAATAAAGAGACTGCCCTGGTCCCAGCTATGGTACACCTTCTTGTAATTTCTTCCTTTGCCTTCTACCAGCTTGTAGGCTCATGGTGTTCTTTGCTTCTGATGGCTGTTTCTTTCCTTCTCCTTCCCTATTTCAGACATGCCTCGAATTGGAACGTTACTTGCAGACAGAGCCAAGGAGGATCTCAGAGACTTTTGGTGAGGACTTGGACTGCTTCCTTCATGCCACTCCTCACCCGAGCATTGAAGAAAGCTTCCGGCGCCTAGATCCCCTCCTGCTCCCCATGGAAGCATCCACGTGTGAAAAAAGCTCTGCAGTGGACATTCTGCTCTCCCGGGACAAGTTGCTATCTGAGACCTGCCTCAGCCTGCAGCCTCCAAGTTCCTCCTTAGATAGCTACACAGCAGTCAACCAGGCCCAGCTCAATGCAGTGACCTCATTAACGCCTCCTTCCTCCCCTGAGCTCAGCCGCCATTTGGTTAAAACCTCACAGACTCTCTCAGCTGTAGATGGCACAGTGACATTGAAACTGGTGGCCAAGAAGGCTTCGCTTAGCTCAGTAAAGGTGGGAGGGGTGGCAGCCGCAGCAGCAGTGACATCAGCTGGGGCCATAAAGAGCGGACAGAGTGACAGTGAACAAGGAGGGATAGGGGCTGATGCATCCCCTGAAAACAAGAAGAGGGTTCACCGTTGTCAGTTTAACGGGTGCCGGAAGGTTTATACAAAAAGCTCCCACTTAAAGGCCCACCAGAGGACTCACACAGGTAGTGGTACAAGTAGGACACATGTGATTTCTCTCCTTTTTCCTCCTTTAGCTCCACAGTGTAATGGACGTACTCTTATGCTGAGGCTTGTTACTCTGTAGGCTACTTCTGAAGATATGGTGGTGGGAGGTGAGGGAATGGAATGGCTGGCTTTTTTGGTGTGAGATGTCAAGATATTCCATGTTCTAGAGATGGCATTAGGCTTGATATTAGGAACATTTCCTAAAGTTAGAGTTATTCCAAAGTATAATTGTACTGCTAACAAAAGTACTGAATTCCCCTTCACTAGAGGTCTTTTTTTTTTTATCAAGATTGTAGAAGGGATTCCTTTTGGGTATAGGTTGGACCACTAGTAGGTCTCTGAGGTTATTTAGGGGGTCACTGTGCACTATGGCTGTGGAGCACCTTCATAAGTTCAGTGGGGTCGATTCTTTGTGATTGGACTTAGGCAATCTATCCTTTTCAATGAAGCAAGCAGCAATAATCTAGCTATATAAGCCACTGTAGTCATCTGGCTGCTTTCATTCTGTGGTCTTTTCATGTATTTAGGCTTTTGTTATTAAATCAAGTTGATATGCATGTGATTGTAGAACTTTGGATGTTGTGTTTGGTTTGGTTTGGTTTGATTTTTTTTTTTTGTAGGAGGCATCCTTCCATGAATTCACTGTTAAAGGAGAGACTTAGGGTTTTACCAGCCCCAGTTCCTCCAGCAATTCTGATTTTTATCACTCATCAATGGCAAGGGAGTTTCAGAGTTCATTAGATGTGATCATTCTGTAATTAATTGACATTTCCTCTTTTGCATTGTTCTCTGGTTCTTGCTTTACTGGGAGATGGTAAGATAGCTTTACAATGAGATTGTTACTACAAAATTGCTAGCATGTGCCTGTATTGCAATGTGTGTGGCATGGAGGGGACTGTATATTTCAGTAGGACCTCCTTGATATAGGCAGATTAGAAGCCAGATTGATATTTTAAGCTAAAGAATATCATAACTAAACCAATATAGTGTGGTCCATCCAAAACCAGAATGCATTTCTTCCTGTATAGAAAATGTTGAAATCCTCTAGTGGATGTATCTTCATGGATCCAGTGATGGTGATGGTATAGTGATGAATGCCCTGGCCATCACCTAAATTGTGGTTGGTAGTCTTTGTGATTGGGATAGTCAGAAATGAGACAAAACCAGATGAGGGTTAGGGAGAGGATGAAGTCTATGGAAAAACTGGGAGGACATCTCAAAGGAGCCTTGAAGTCAGTTAGTGCTGGCCACTGATCCTGGGAGAACACTTTGGGGCGGTTCATGGAACTAATCTCAGAGAAGTAGTTCTGGGAATTACAGAGCCTATTCCAAAGGCTGAATGACTTTGACCTTTCATTTGAAATTGGTCTCTTTCAAAGTTTTTAGGCAGGAGAGAGTATGACATATTTTAAATAGCTTCTAAAGAGTAAGGTAGGACATAATACATAGCAAGATGCAGCCATAATGTTTGACCTCTAAATCTTTATCACAGGAGGCTGGGAATTGGGATGAGCCACAGTTGATATTGTTCCTTTGCCAGCAAAGGACTAGGACATATGCCCCTCTAAATCGAAATCTTAATTTCCCATATGGTTCACGGTTGGTGTAAGTCTTCTCGTGAGGCATACTTTTATAATGCTGTAGGCTCATCAGAATAGTGACCTTCATGCTTTGCAATTGAATGCTTGTTTTAGTCACTAGATCTCAGGTCTGAACTTTCTTCTGTCTAGGCCAAAACGATCTCTGTTGATTCTCTTATCTCTTGCTCTTTTGAGATATCTCTTGTTCTTATAGTAACTTTATCCTTAAAAGTGGGTTTACGGTTTTGTTTTTTATTTTTCAGTCTTTAGAGTCAATGATTAAAATATTGAGGAGACATTGAATTGTTAGCCAACTTGGATTCCTAGCTATCTCATCTTGCTTCTTCTTCACTGACTTGAAGAAGAAAGGAGGAAAAGTTGGAGGAGTAATTTGGAAAAAGTAATATGGAAAAATATGATTTCCATATATGTGCAGAATTTGTGATTATGGACCTAGTTCCAGTAAAATTTAATTGCTATGAATGATAGTCCTGGAGGGGTCATGTGAGCAAGAAAACTTTGGAAAGCAAAGGTCCTTTCCTTACCTATCAATGGTCTTAAACAAAAGAACACATATTCCAAAGGTTCAGGATTTACTTACCCACCTTGAAACCTTGGATTGGGAGCCACATCCCACAGTGGGAGGCTGAACTATAGAACTTTTCCCTATTTTTGCAACTTGGTTCAGCATAAACCAAGGATTAGTCAGTGATTACTGATGCTTGAAAGGTGGCTCTCTTGGAACCCAGAGTAAACACACAATAGGATGGTAAGTTAGCAACAGAGGAGTTTGCCAACACCCAGGTAAAATCCTGATTGCTCAAATGAAGCTGTTTTCCCCTCGGTGCTCCCCCCCCCTCCGCCCCAACAATTATATTCTGCTTTTCCCCAGAGAAGTAAAAAGTGAATGGGAGATGGTGGCACAAGTTAGACTGGCCAATGAAAATGAATGATGAATGATCATTGATCAATAGAATGTGTTTTGCTATCTATTAATGGTCCATTGAAGTTGTAGTGGTCTTCAGTGATACTGATGGCTTTATTCTCTGAAGAAAAGAGAAAGTTATCACCTTGTGTCCTGGAGAAACAGTTTGCCTATGAAACCTTCCTCAGGGGAAAAATCTTTCTGAGGAAAGATAGGTATCTGAGAGCAAAGAGAATTAATTCAGGCTAAATGGATGGGAATGCAAAGTATTTATTTGGATTTGGTGTGAATGGGGCACAGGGGGAACTGAAAAAAAGGTGATAATTTATATGGTGTAGAGGAACCAAGAGTAATGGAGGAAGTGTGAAGGATGGAATTAAATTAAATCCAAACATAGACCGGGAAAGAGAGTAAAACTTGGAGGGGAGAGGGACAAAAGTACATGGCAAAGGAGATTCTGGAGAGAAAAAAAATCTGCTGATATAAGTGAGAAATGTAGGAAGAGCTGCTGACCACATGTTTGGAGGAGGTTAAAAAAGCTGAGCAGGATAGATGGGTTCTGGTTGGGTGGAGATTTAATCCAGCTACTCTAACCCAGGGCTCCCATAAATTCAGTGTTGAGAATTCTAGCCTCTTCCTCTCTTGCAAGTTTAGGCAGAGAGGGCCACCCCTGAAGAGGACAGGTAGCGGGTGGTGAAGAAGTTTGTGACTGGTTGCTAAAAGTGTGTAGAAGTATGGCAAATACCTTGGGCCTTGAGATCCAGGAAGTAGTTGGAATAAATAAGGACACGGGAGGCTTTCCCTGGCCCCTGCACAAACAAAGGGTTCCAATAAATTTGCCAATATTGCTGATTTGCTTACCTTGAGGATTTAAGAACTATTTGTTTTAAGCTCTGTAAAGATAGTGCTTACTGCCCTGGCAGGAATGTCCCTCTCTCTGGCGGGCTCCTTCTAGATTGATTCCTTCAAACTCTGCCATGGAGGAAGCTAGAGAATGAAGTAAAATGAATTTTAAAGGCAGGAAGATGTCCAAGCAAATGGCCAGGGCATTAATGCTAGTTGCCCATGGAATGTGGGAAAGGGGAGAGATGAAGGAACCAGGTGAGAAATGGGACAAAAGAGGTAAGATAATAAGATCTCAGTAAAATAAAGTCCACGCACAGAGACATGTGAGACAATGTCCTTCTTTCCTACCCCCAACACAAAACACACACCCACACCCCTATCTTTAAACTTTAGTGCTTGCCTATCCTAACAACACCCTTCAGGCATTCATGTTGTTCTGTCTGGTCTCTCCTTCATTGCATTTTTGTTATGGGGGAGGGGTTTTCCTTTCTTAGTAATTAAAGTTGTGACCATAGCCTAGTGGGCTGATTCAAGGTGAAACAAGCATTACTTCTAGTTACAATTCCACTAAAATTATTTTTGTTTATCTTCACTGCCCAAATCCCCCCACCCCCCCACCATACCAAAACAGTGTGTTAAAATGTAATTTTCCTTCCACTGAAGATGAAATGCAAATTCTCTTATTCTCAAATGCCCCTTTAAACAAGAAAGAGGAAAAAAACTTATTAAAATAAATAGTTTATATATTATCAGTTTAAACATAATTTGACAAATCATATCAGCATAGGAGCATGTATATACAGTCTATCACAGAGTAATTAGAATTGAAGAGATTCTCCACCTCTAAGACTTAAACTGTCATCAGCAGATGGGTGTGTTTTGTTTGAATTTCTGTGTTGAAGGAAAATATTTTAGAACATGAAAACCATGCAATTGGATTGTAAACAATAACAGGAAAACCTTTTTTAGCCATAGGCCTAAAGAGATCATAGGATTGTAGATTTAAGACTTGAAGGAACCTCAGGCCCTCTAGTTCCACCCCTTCATTTTAAAAATGAGAAATTTGATGTATGTGGAGGTTGTGATTTGCCCAAGGTCATGTGGGTGGTAGGCATGAGAGGTAGGCTTTGAAGCCAGGGCTTCATATTTTTGTAGCAGTCTCTATACATTCCACAATGATTACAGGGGTAACATGGAAAATGGAATTTCACCAGTTATGCCAAAACCTCATCTTAGCAAATCATTTCAACCTTCTCCCAAACCAAGCTTTTTTATAGGATATCTTTTTTCTTTTGGTGAGGCAGTTGGGGTTAAGTGACTTGCCCAGGGTCACACAGCTAATGAGTGTTATGTGTCGGAGGCAGGATTTGAACTCAGGACCTCCTGACTCCAGGGCCAGTGCTCTATCCACTGTGCCACCTAGCTGCCCCTTTTATAGGGTATCTTAACAAAAAACTAAGTTAATTTTTATCACTTGAAGACAAAGCCATAGGCCATAAGTTCTCTATAAAATTAAAGATAAAACTTCCTCTTGAGCCAACAAGATTTGCTAAGAAGTATATTTGTCATACCATTAAGGGAAATTATTTTATTGTTTCACTGCCCTGATTAAGTTGACTTAGAATTGACC